ATGATGGGAAGAAAGTCTTCGTGATTGGATTACGTTTAGAGTGTAATTCCGCGGCGTGATGATCGTCAAGGGACCAAAGGACAAATTGCGACCTCCTCATACTTCACAGCATCCCCAATGGGACATGTTTTTTTTTCCTCATCTTATCTTTTAGTTAACAAAATCTACTTTTTTCATTCTAATTCCCAAATGAGATTTCTTTTTGTTCTTTCACCTTTTTTTTTTTTTTTTTTTTTTATTGAACTTTTTAAATTTTGTCCTAGTTTTTCCTTTTCATTTTTTTTTTATTTAAACAAATTCCAAAAGAAAAAAATAAAATAAAAATGAAAATTTTTATGACCGTTAATAATTTTTTTTAAATGCCTCCTCCTGTTACCGTGTTTTGATAAATATAATATTAACAAATCGCAAAATGAATCATATTATTTAGTGATTTAATCCACCCCTTTTCTATGATTTCACCCCTTAAATGTTACCAACATTAATATACATTCTCATCTCCTTTTTTTATTTTTAACTGAATGGCAATTCAAAGCATTGATAAGAAAATCTTCTTTTTCTTTTTCTTCCTCCTCTTCCTCTTCTTCTCTCCCTTTTACCAGCATTTTCTTTCTAAATAAAAATTCTTACGTGGTGTGAATTTGCTAGTTGATTCTTTTCTCAACCTTTTATATCTTTTCACTTAATAGTTTTCCTCCTTTTTTTCTTTTTTTTTTTTTTTCCTCTTCATATTTTTTATTTTTTTCCTTTTGTTTTATACTTTTATACAGTTGAAACTTAATTTTCATATGTCATTTTCATATCATTGTCAGTTTTACTTTAGAATATTTTTACAATTTTTTTCCTTTGAATTTTTTTTTCCATGTTGAAAGAACATCATAAATTATCATGCATTTAATAATTTGTTTTAATTAACCTCAAAGTTTATTAAAAGTAATATATTATTTTAATATAGAAATTGTGAGTTATTAAAAATGTTTAATCATTTTCAACCCTCTTCATCCCTTTGTGTTTGATATTTCTTTAATTCTTATATATTATTGATAGTGAATATCAATGCTTGGTTAAGAAGATTATTTTCTTTAAGAAACTGTTATTAATTATAATTTTCTTCTTTTTTTTTTTCCTTCCTTCCTTTTTATATTTATCATCGTCATTTTCTTTTAACTCTTTGCAGTTATTTATTAATAAAAACGGAGGAAAAAAAATTATTATACGCATAAAATGAAAAGAATTTTCTATAAGCACGGTCAATTTCATCTTTATTTTTTTTTTTTTTTAAATTCGATTATAAATCTTTTGAAAATAAGAGATAAAAAGATATCAATTTTATGAAAAAAAAAAACAAAAGAGTGATACAAAATTGAAATTTTTTGATCAAAAAACTTTTGAAGAAACAAAAAAGAAAAAAAAATGAAAGGATACGAAAAGAAATGAATGATTGACAACATAACCAGTAAAAATAAGATTTTACTCACGTTTTTTATCCTTCATTGAAGCTATGCATGTTTAACCACTCAGAAAAATCCTATCCCGGTTTTTTTTTGCCAGTTTTTATACAAAATGTAGTAACAGCAAACGCAACTGAAACAAAATAAAAACAATGGTTTAAAACATATAATAGTTTTTTTTGTTAATTGTAAGTATCAGTTAAAATTTTTATTCAGCCATTTATTATGAAAGTAACAAAAAAAACTATTACCTAGTTTTTAATGGTTGCAATATTTAGTTTTACATATAACAGTTGTTTTATCAATTGAGTAAAGAAAAATAACACTTTTGAATTATTTTTGAAAAAGTTAATTGTAACACTCAATGTTAATACTTATAAAAAGTAATTAAATATATATTTTATTTGTCAATTTTTAACGAATACATGTTTTAAATCAAATATATGTAGTAAATTATACTTTCTTACTTAACTAAAAATGGCGGCAATCGTGGTATTAGACCGTTAATTTTTCGAACACGCGTAAATTTTAATTTATTTTAACCTTTTTAAAATATATTATAAAAAATTTAGTAACAGTATTTTTGATTTATAATTTTCGTAATTTTATTATAGTACATATGTATGTGTATGTAATTTAATTGATTTTTATTACGTAATATTTATTAAAGTAGAAATTTATTCATTTAAATAAAAATTAAATCAAAATGCCTCTAATAGTAATTACTGGTCTACCAGCCAGTGGAAAAACTCATGTGTCTAATCAAATTAAGAAATATTTTGAAGAAAAGAAAAAAGAAGTCATGATAATTAGTGAAAATGATATTCTTAAGGAGAATAATTTAAGTAGAAATGAATTGTATGTAGACTCTAAAAAGGAAAAAGAAATTAGAAGTATTATTAAATCTAATTTTTTAAGAGTCATTAGCCCAGATAAATTAATTATAATTGATGCTCTGAACTATATAAAGGGCTATCGATATGAAATATATTGTGCTACAAAAAGTGCCAAAACTACTCAGTGTACTCTCTATTGTCAAACAGGGTCAAACACTGCCTGGGAATTCAACTTGAAAAAAAATACTTGTGATCAATACAGTAAAGAAGTTTTTGATGGCCTTGTTTTAAGGTTTGAAGAACCAGACAGTAGAAATCGATGGGATTCACCTTTGCTTTACCTCATGTCTGATTCATCTGTTCCTCTTCAGGATTTATATGATGCATTATATTGTCGAAAACCACCACCTCCTAATCAGTCGACTCAATGCCCTCCATTATCAGACACTAATTTTTTACACGATTTAGATAATGCAATTAAAACTGTGATTGAATGCATTATGACAAATAAAAAATTAAATATGGAAGGAGAAGTGAAAATACCAGACTGTGATGAGTGCTTCGTAATAAGTTCTGAGAAAAATATTTCACTTCCAGAATTATTAAGGCTAAAAAGGCAGTTTTTATCTTATGTTAAACTACAGCCAACATTATACAACAATAAAAATTTAACCAAACTGTTTGTTCAATATTTAAATAGCAATCTTTAGGTAAGTATTTACTCTCGTTATAATTGCTTAAAATTTAAATTTACTTATTTTACCAAGTATTTATTCATGTTTGAGGGCCTGTTGTTACAATTAAAAATGTTAAGAAATAATTTTTGTATAAACATATTTGTTCACCACATAGTTTTAAATTAATCACTGTTTCTCAATTGTTTTTGAAATAATTTCACTCATTACGATACTAAATTATTTAAGTTAGAATAGAGTAAATTTTATAAAATTTTTTTATAAATCTAAAGAAAGCATGTACTGTTTTCACTATTATTAAATATTTTTATTCGACTTTCTGAAAATTTTGTTATTTCAAGTTTTATGAAAAAGAAAATTTTTGTACATAATTAAAATTTTATTTTTATAAAAAATTAGACGAATATAAATTAAATGCTTTACTACTAGTACTCGTTTATTATTATTACTATTAACATTACTCTTATTGTTATTATTAACATCACCCCATGTATTTTTTAAAATTGTTGATATAAATTTTTTAAATTTATTTTTATGCTGAATTTTTTTTTATTAAACTATGATTTATTGTGATATGATAATTATGATGATAAGGCTATTGAAATACCTTAAAACTATTAAAAAAAATGATAAAGTTATGTTTACTCATAAATGGTTTAGAGTTATGAATTAATAAAATTGTATTAATTGATAACTAAAAGGATTTTACATAAATTTACGGTTAAAAAAAAAAGTTTTTCAAGGTTTTAAAACATTTTTGTGATAGAAAAGACTAGAAAAAAATTATAAAAACGTAGATTTTAGTTCAGAATAAAAGTGAAAAAAGATTGATTAAGAATGAATTGAGAAATTGCCACTCCCACAAACCTTTGAGTGATTTTTGAACTGGAACGAGGCGACAGGAAGTCAACGCCTTGTTCGTGTTTTTCTGATTGAGAATTACAATAAAAGGTAGCTGCTAAGCAAGGGATGTTGAATGCATGGCTGAATAAAAAAAAAAAAACAAGATGTCACACTACTATCAAAAATTTCTCCGTTTTTTTTTTGACACGAAGATGGTTGGAGTAAAAAAAAAAAAAAAGCTGTTGGAAAAAAAAAAAAGAAAAGTATCATCGATTATTACAAGTAGATAGCCTAAAGGAAATCAGAACCCCTTTCCTCTTTATTTTTCTTTTTTTTTTACGAGATGAGAAGATACGTCACGTGCCCAACATTCTATTCAATCTCAATAAAAAACAGATATTCTTTATTATTATTATTTTTTTTTTTTTTTCCTGTTTGTAAAAGTGTCCTCTTTTTTTTCTCAATGGATTTTTTCCTCTTCCTGTCTAACAGGAAATAGAAAGACTTGAATTTAATAAATTACTACAATCTTTCTAATTTATTTTTTAACTTAATTAGAATCACAAAACAAACAAGAAAAAAAAATTTTTTTTTTCGGTTTTCAAATCGATAGAAAAAAAGAAAAAAAAAGGAAAAAAAAAAATTTTTTTTTTTTTTTTGTGTTCTCTGCAAACTCTTTCTTCCTCCTCCATTTTTTTTTTTTTTTTTTTTGTTCTTTAAAAGAAAATAAAGGCAATTTATATAAAAACCGAAATGCGTAAATTGCAAGCATGTTTTATTAGCCTTGTCAGGGATTGAACCTTTATGCATGTTATAACCCTCCGAAAGGCAAAGTTTCTGTCACTATTTTTTTTTTTGTTAAAATAACAACTATTGTAAGTTTAACACAAAAAAAAATTTTTCTTTTTTGTTAAACTTAAAAACGTTAAAACGATTAAAAAATTAATAATGATAATGTTTTTGTATTTAAACGAATAATAAAGAAAATTATGTAAATAATAAATAAATAAATAAACAAGATGGAAAAAGGTTTTTTTTTTCCCTTTAAAGGTGAAATACCTCCTGGTGCCTGTTTATTGACAATCGTAAGAATAGCTGACTATGAAATTTTTGTCATTTCATTCGTTCATTGCCTTTTGTTGGTTTGAAAGAGGAAGAAGGAGAGAGAGAGAGAAAAAAAGAGAGAGAGAGAGAAGGAAGAAAAAAGAATCGAATTTGTTTTTATTTTTTTTTATTTTCTTGTTTATTATTATTGCTTTTATTGTTTACGCAAATTTAATCCATTTCTTTGTTTCACATCGCACTTTTCAACTCGAAAAAAAAGAAAATGTAATTCGGTATATGTCGCCTAAAAAACCTTTCGTTTCGACTTAAAACAAAAAAAACAGTCGATGATAGTTTTGTAACTGTTTATAATTTATATATATATTAATTTTATTGATGTTAATATCATTAATATCATTATTATTATTAATTTTAATTCATGTAAAAAATGTTAATGGAAAAAAAAATGAGTAAAGAAATATATTTAAAAAATTGGGGTTTATGTTGTTGTTGTTGTTTTATCACGCAAAAGAAATTTTTTTTTTTTTTTTAATTAAAAATTATTTTATTTTTAACTTTTCGATTAATATATATTTAATTTATTTATATATATTTAAAATTATATTAGAAAAAAAAGAGTGATGAAAAGATGATTTTTTGTTGCGTGACGATTAATTTAAATTCAAATTGCTAATAATATTGATAATACTTTGTTTGTTTGTATTTGTTTAAATACTCGATAAAATTTATTATTTTTATTTATTTTTTTATTAATTAATAATAATAATAATTATAAATTACTATATATGGTTATCGTATACTTGTTGCATTTTATTTTAAAAGCAAATACCTGTTATTATTATTATTAACTTTTTGAATATGAAAATCGTACTTATTTAAATAAGTAAAATTTTCATTCATTTGAATTTTTGCTGTTTGTAATAGTTGAAATTATTATGTAAAAAACAAACACGATAAAAGGCTAATAATAACTTTTAAATTGTAAATAATAATAATAATAATAATAAATTCGTTTAAGAGTATTTTGTATATTTTTAGCATGATAAAAAAAAAATTTAATATTAGTATCGTGACGGGAACTGATGGTAACAATATTTTTGACCTAAAAAAAAATTTGGCAATTTTTACCCCCCAAAAAAAAATTTTTTTTTTTTTTTTAAATAGGGTTGCGATAATTAGGTGGAGGCGTAGTTAAGCGTGTTAAAGTTTTATTTATAAAAAAATGAGGTTATAGGACCAATGTAACTATGTCACGATCATGACGTTGTTGCCAGGTACTACCAGGTTAGAAAGAAAAACGTTGCTAAGGAATAATAAAATTCCTTCACCTACAATTTATTTAAATTTTCCGATTTGTTGGGAAAAAAACAACAAACGGTTGTTGTCTTAACGCACGTCGGTAACAAATTTACAACGTTTTTTTCCGTTTTGTTTTTCGTTTTTTTTTGAGTTTTCCTTTCGCCATAAAACCTTTTGCTTTTCTTCGAGTATCAGGTTTTTTTTTTTTTTTTTTTTTTTTAATCAAACTTGATCCTCCAGTTTCTTCGTCGCATGAGAAAATCTACCGGATCCGATTGTATTTCGATACTTGGGCAACGGCCTATTTTTTTTAAAACAGTCAATGACCGATTTTTCTTTTTTAAATCTGACACTAAATATATTTATTTTGTTTTTTTTTTTTTTTGTAAATTTTTACTGTTGGCTGTTGCTGTAACTTTTCAAATTGAGTCAAAATGTTTTATTAAAGTTTAAGGTAAGTGTAAAAAGTTAAAAAATTTTTTTATTTCATCAAAAATAATTTAAAACGAATAAGGATTCGGAATAATTTTTTTTTTTTTTTTTACAGATTTGAATTGGAAAAAAATATAATAAATAAAATTAATTATTAATAAAAAAAAAAATGTCGGTATCCATTCAAACAATTCCGAGGGAAAGTAAAACGACACATTTAAATCAATATTACGTTCCTGAAATTCTTAATTTTAATTTAGAAAAAACATCTGAAAAATGTTCTCGAGGAGTGGGAGATGAAAAGTCTGCTACCAATCTTCAAAATGGCGATGTAAGAAATTATAAACTCCCCCAAAAAAAAACATTAAGTAAAAACAAAAAAAAAAAAACAAAAAATTAAAATTAAATAAATTTACAAGTTTAAAATGTGAAAAAAATTTTAAAAAAATAATAAAAAAAAATTAAAATTTAAAATTTAAAGTGCTCGGAAATAAAAAAAATTTAAAAAAAAATTTCGTTTTAAAAAGAAATGAAGAACTGCTGATATGAAATGACACCAAAAAAGAAATCAAAAACTAATACAAAACAACAATCATCATTTTTGTTGCAGCCTTTTTTAAAACCCGTCGATCCTCACATACATTCTGATAAGGAAAATCCCGTTTTAAAAGCTCTTTTCGGTGGTAAAAGTCCTTCCGGTTTAACTGCCTGGACGTACGTAACGAAAACATCAATCAACAATTGTCATCCGTTTAAAAAAACAGAATTAAGTCACGATTTAACTTCTGACGATACACCAGCTGAAACACCTAAAAGCCTTCAAAAAAAAACATCTCAAACGAGGAAAAAATCATCGAAAGAAAATAATAATAATATTAATATTAATAATAACACACCGGATACTAATAACAATGGAAAATCAAAACCGACACAAAATAATGAAATACTAAAAGAAATACCCCTTAATTCGAATCCATCTAATGGAAATGAAACTAATGGAAAATCGAACACTAATGAAAATGACGTTAATGTAACTTCGAGTACCATAAGTACTCAAAAAGTAAATCTACCGGTTTCAAAGGTAACCTCCCCACCCCCCCCCCCCCGTTTTATTATTACATTATTATTATTATTATTTTTAATTAAAAAAATATTAATAATTTTTTTTAAGCAAGGAGAACCGGATAAAAAAAGAAGGATTTCTTCGCAATTAACATTTCCCATTTCGAAAGCTCGTACTATATTTGTTAATAGTGAAAGATTATTAGAATTGAGATCAATAGTCGACAATGCCGTTAAGGTAAGAAAATATTTATTAATTTATAAAAATGAGTTATTAAAATGACAAATTAAAAAAATGTCAATAATTTTCAGGCACATAAAGTTTATTCCATGACTGGAGCATATCAATCAGTGAGAAACGCATTAAGACAAAGAGGATGGATTGAAAAAATCGATAGCGAAGCAAAAAAACAAAATAGGCCGAATAAATTTGAAGAAATTGGAATATGTAAGTTGAATAATTTTATATATATATATATATATATATATAAAATAATGATAATAATAATAATAATGTACGACTAATGCCAATAAATGATCGGTTACCAAATAATTATTGATACCTCAATCCTTGTTTAAACCTTTTTCCTTTTTCAAGAAAAAACCTTTTCTTCTTTGTTCTTTCGAATCAGATGACGCTGCTTTTCAGTTTGTACAGAAAAATCCATCAATAGCAGCAATGGCATTAGCTATGCAAACCCATACGGGTTTCACTCACAATGATCAGATTCATTATTCAGTTCAAGGGGAAGCTGAAATTATAAATAGAATGCTGAAAAATGTCACGGAAGATCTTTGCTGGCTTAGCAGGCCGTTTCCATTTAATTGCTACAAAGATTTCGATAAATACGACATGATAAACCGTCTTCCAAAAGCATATTTTTCAAATAAGGTATTTATTTATTTATTTAAATTAAAATTTTACCGTGTACCCTTTATTTTTATTTTTTTTTCTAACGTAAATTTTTTAAATAATTTTTTATAGATCGGATTATGTAATTCATTACAACAAATTCAATGGTTTTACGAAGCCGGTGTTTGTTCGACACAATTTCCAAGAACTTATAACACATCGACAAAAGATGAACTTCAAGCTTTCAAAGATGATTTTCGATTAACGGCATGTATCGGTTTATTAAAATGGTTTAATGAAACTTATAGGAACGGTGGTGAAAAAGCGGTTCGTTCTCTCGATGGAAAGGTTCGTTGAAAATTTTCCTCTCCTTTTTTTTTAATTATTTTGAATTATTAAAAAGCAACAAATTACATATTTAGGTGGATTTAAATGTTATCGAATTTGCATTGAGACGATGTGCAGAATATGTTAAAATAAAACAACACGAAGACATTGACATACCTGAATTACCAACCGTTTGGGAATACCAATGGGATAATTTTATAGCTCAGTATTACAGAATCGCAAACGAAGGACAAATTCTTAAAGATAATAGAGAAGGAATTCCAATTAAGGTATGAATTCATTTTTTTTTTTGCAATTAATTAAGTAAAATTATGTAATTACGATGATAATAATTACAGGCGATTGCGAGCAACGTTCAATCCATGCTTTACATAATCAAACCTTATTGGCCTCAATACGATATCGACGGTTATCAAAATTATTGGATAGTTAAACCTGGTGGTAGATGTTGCGGTGCTGGTATAACAATTAAAAATCGTTTAGATAATATTTTGGTTACGTTAAATCCGGGATCTTTTAAAGATACTCGTTACGTCGTACAAAAATACATAGGTAGTTTAATAAAACTATTAACTATTAAATTTCATTCGATTTTAATAATTTTTTTTAATTTATTGTTTTTTTTTTTTAAAGAACGTCCGCTTTTAATTTTCAATACAAAATTTGATATAAGGCAATGGTTTTTGGTAACCAACGTATATCCCCTCACAGTTTGGATGTACAGGTATGTAAAAATCATTTTAAAGTCGAATAAAGCGTTTGTTTCCTTTGCAAAAAATAAATTTTTTTTTGGTAAAATTTTTAGAGAAAGTTATTTAAGATTTTGTTCGCAACCTTTTACGTTAAAAAACACTCCCGAATCAATTCATTTGTGTAATAACGCTGTTCAGAAAAAATATAAGAATGGAAAACGTGATAGAGGACTTCCTGATGAAAATATGTGGGATTGTTATACATTTCAAACACATTTAAAGTAATAAATAATAATAATAATAATGATAAAGTTTTTGTATGGAATTATTTTTAATTTATTATTAACAAATTTTTTTTTTTTTTTTTTTTTTCAGAGCGATTGGTTATCCGGATGTTTGGGAAAAATATATATATCCAGGTATGAAAGAAAGTTTTATAGGAGCTTTATTGACATCTCAAGAGAGTATGGAAAGGAGAAAAAATTGTTTCGAATTGTATGGAGCTGATTTTATGATATCCGATACGATAACCGATGGTCCTTGGCTAATAGAAATCAATTCGAATCCTGCCATGGATTCAAGTACGAGTGTTACCGCACGTATGTGCCCTCAAGTTTTGGAAGATGTTGTAAAAGGTAAAAAAAATGTCGTTTTTTTTTTGGGGGGGGGAGTGATGGTGGGGTGGCAAGAGAACAATGTAAAAATTACGTTTGAATTTTTTTTTTTTTTTTTTTTTCCCCAGTTGTTATTGATAGAAGAGATAATAAAAGTGCGTCGACGGGTGGTTTCGAAATGGTATTTAGACAAAATTGTCCTCCCATACCTCCTTACCTTGGTATGAGTTTCTGCGTGAAGGGAAAAAAAGCGTTTAAACCAAATGGAGATGTACGACTCATCACAAGAAAAAGTAAGAGTAAAAATTCTATTAAAATTTTACTCTCAACAGATACAGAGGAGGAATCTACGAGCGACAACAATTCTCCTTCGGGAAAAATCGAATTGGAAAGAAAATTCAACATGGATTCATCGATAGAAAATAAAAAATTACAACAAATAAATAAAAATTCAAGTCAAACGGATTGGATAAAAAGAAATATAAATGAAATAAAAGATGTTTCCTCCAATAAGAGATTAGTAAAAAAAGATTTATGTCAATTAATAACGGATGATGATAAAAAAATAAACGATTCTTCCGATACTAATAATAATAATAATAATTCGAAAGAAAAAAAATTAGAAAATAATTCGGATGAAAATAAAGAAAATCATCTTGTCGTTGACGGTTTTGAAATATTAAAAAAAAACAATTCGAATTTGATTCCTGAGGCTAACGATTTACCACCACCCACGACTCCAAATTTAACGGAATTATTAATTAATTATAAAAAAGATTTAATTCCGGTAAAAAGTCCGAATTCGTTAAATTCAAAAGATTCCGTTTATCAATCATTAACGACTTTATCATCATTATCGTCTGCTCGAAACAATTCGGATGTAGTTAAATCATATTCTTTAGATAAATTTTTTGACGTTTCCGGTAGTAAAAGAGGATCGATATCGACAAAAAGCGAATTTTCCTTTAAAAGTTGTCAATCTCATTTGGTTAAAAATCACGATGATGATAATAATGATAAAAACCGTACGATAAGAACAAATGATTTTTTATTTAATTTAAAAAAAGATATAAAAGATGTTAAATTAAATTGTGCGAGCGTCATATGCGATTTACAAGTTTTCCAGGGGGAAAATTCAAAATCAAAATCAAAAGAAAATCTAAATAAAAGTTTAACGGAAATAAATAAAAATTTATGTATAAAAAATTCCGAGAAAAAATTTAAAAAAAAATTCGATGATTTTATTCAATTCAATCGTAAAAATAATAATAATAATAATAATAATAATAATGAAAAAATTTTGAATCTTGCAATTAATTCTGATACCGGAGCTGTTAAAAGCATAAAAGACATTTCGAAAAAAATGGCGAACGAAGGAGATGAAGAAGAAGAAAAAGAAGAAAAAGAAGAAGAAAAAGATGAGGAAGAAAATGAAGAAGAATAATCATTTATTATATAGAAATAAAAAAAAAATAAAATTTTTTTTTTTTTTTTTTTAATTATTATTTATTTTATTTAGGTTTTTTTTTTTTTTTAAATTTATTATTATTATTATTATTATTTATTAAATAATTAAAATGTATATATATTTTTGAACGACAATATTATTATTATTAATAATTTAACATTAAAAAAAAATTTTTACATGCAGGGAAGAGAAAATCCAAGTTTAAAGATCTCGAAATAAAGAGTTTCTGTTTCCGCCGTATCGATGATCATTTTTATTTGGCTCAAAAAAGAAAATTATCGTAATCATGGTTGTCTCTCTCATTATGATGATAAGAAAATTTTTTATTATTATTATTAATATTAAAAAAATTAATAAAAAATTGTTCCCTGAGTTACGATCCCCCCACCCCGCAAGTAAAAAAATTCGGTTTTTTTTTTTTTTTTTTTTTACGCAAAATTTTCTTTTTTTTGTTTTTATGTTTTGTATATTTTATATATATATATATATAAATAAATTTAAAAAAAAAAATAAATAAATTATTTAAATAAAAAAAAAATAAAAAATTTTAAATAAAAACATTTTTTGATGTTGTTGTTATTAATGTTATTGTTATTGTTGTTTGTTATTATTATTATTATTTATTTATTTTAATGTGTTTTTTTTTTTAAAAAAAAAAAAAAAAAAAAGTTCAAAGAGGAAAAAAACAGAGAGAAAAAATTGTTATATTGTTTTTGTTGTTATTAATATATAAATAATAATAATAATAATAATAATTGTATATTTTTATTATTTATTTACGATTTGTGTTGTTTATATTTACATAGAAAAATTTGTTTTTTTTTTTTAAATTGAAATAAAAATAATAAAATAATAAAAAAAACAGTGGTGCCAATATTAAATTACAGTGCAAGCAATAATTGAAAAAGAAAAAAAAAAAAAAATTTTTTTTTTTGATGTAAAAAAATTGAAATGACGCGGTTTTAGGATAAACAATATTAAATCTAACGTGTGAAAAAAAAGGAAAATTTATTTATAATTATAAATAAATAATAATGATTTTATTAAATGAAACGTACAACAATAAAATGTGATCAAAGTATTTGAATTTGAAAATTCAGGGAAAAATTAAAAAAAAAAAAAAAAAAACAAAAAAACGGAAGAAAATTCAAGGGCAAAACAAAACTGTGAATGACGTTAAACATACAAACACACAAAAATATTTCTTTTTTTTTTATTTATTTATTTTTTATTTATTTATTTATTTATTATTCAAATGCGTTTTAAAATTTACTATTCGCCTTATTCCATTCATGAGGAAAATCATAAATGAATAAATTCAATAACAATAACAACAACAACAACAACAACATTGATAATAAAAAAAACGTTCTCAATAATAATAATAATAATAATAATAGTAAAATCGAGACTAGAGAACGTAAAAAAATTAAAAAAAAAACTACATCGGATAAGAAAAAAATTAATAATGGAAAAATACAAATATTATTAGATTTAGAAAAGAAAAAAAAAAAAACTGGTGATAATAATAATAATACAAATAATGGTGGTGGTGGAATCGGTGAAAGTTTAAATAAAAAAAAATTTATTAATGAAAAAAAAACGGAAATTAAAAATAATGAACAAGGAAATAACAACGCCAACAACCACACCTCCAACAGCACCAATTCCAGCAGCAACAGCAAAAAAAAAAAAAATAATAAAATTATTTTAAAAGATAAAAATTATTTCGATACGTTAAAATCGCAAGTTGTCGTTACGGATAAATTAAAAATTATTAATAATAATAATAATAATACTTATTCTAATTCTAATAATAATAATAATAATTATTCTAATAACAAAGTTTTAAATGTTTTAGGTGATAAATTAACTCCTTCATTTATTACACAGGATTCAATATCAAGTAAAGAATTTAAATTTAAAAAAAGTTTTTTAGATGCAATTACGGAAGAAAAACAACGTCAATATAATAATAATATCA